TTATTCACAAAAGAAAACTGGGAAAAAATAATATACAATAATAAAAGTAAGGCTTAATGAAAAAAGTTTGTTAAGTAAATATAATGACGGTGCAAAATTCAAGAAAAAATTATATTTGTTGAATGAATTATATTTCATCCGTCCCACTAACAATGAGACAGAAGGAGTGATACACAAATCAATAAAAAATAATTTATGTAGTTGATATTGAAATGATAAAATAAGAATAAAGTAAGTATGATTTATAATCACACAAACTTTACCAAATTCCGAATGAGACAATGTTAGTAGGACGAGCAAAAAAGATAAAATTCATAAAATCTTATGTGGATGTAGAAATTATATTTATTGATCGAAGGTGTTACACATGTTATACTCGAAATTTGAAAATATCCCATTTCCGTGCCTGTCTTGACTTGCTTTAAAATTGAAGCTTAGCTACTCTCTAAAGACTATTGCAATCTCATTCACTTCACCTATCATACAGATTCTCAAATATTTGATGTGTCTTTGTTTTTTGAGCTTTACAAGGTACCCCATTTGGTACTTCATTTGTACCACTTTTCTATATTTGTCTTTCACAAAAGCTCAATACATTAAATGAATTGCTCCATTTTAATGAAGTGCTTTTGTGAATAACAAATATAGATGTGTACAAAATGGAGTACAAATTAGGGTGGCAATAGTATTTTTGTTGTTTTTTTTATACTCCCTCTGTCCCATAAAATAAGTCTCATTTTCCTTTTTAAATCGTCTCAAAAAATTGTTCCCATTTTTTTTTTTTTGGAAAGTTTTGTGTGACTAACATTCATTTACCTTTTTCTTATTCAACTACAACCATACATTTCCACATTATTCCCACTTTCTTAAATTCCGATCCAAATTGAAATAGGACTTATTTTATGGGACTAGAGGGAGTAACATTTAAGTCCTTCAGTCTGCTAGATAACGAGAGCCATACGCGTGTCATGAAATTAAACTTCGTGTCACCTGCGTGCTTCTTTTTCATTGGTGGGCTTTAGATCTTTTCATTTTCTAATTATTATTACTCTGATGGATGTTGATGTGACATTAAACTATTCAGAAATACTGAAAACCAATAAAAAGAAAACAACAAATCCCCGTAATACTCCCACCCATTCTAAATAAATTTCATTATTTGACTTCACACACATTAAAGAATAAATTTTATTTTACTGTACAGTACACTGGTGTGACACTGTTTGGCACTATATGGTATTGTTTGACATTGTTTTGCACTGTTTTGATGTACTACCTCCGTTCCTATTAAAACTTCCAAATAGGTTTGGCATAAAGTTTAAGATAGTGGGTATTGTGTGGTGGAGAGTTGTGCAGAGGAGAGAGAAATGTGTAAGAAATGTTATGAACTACAAATTCTTTACTAAAAAGGGAAAGTTGGAAGTTTATTTAGGAACGGAGGGAGTAGATAATTTGCCAAATAAGAAAGGGAGAAGAAGTGTGAACTTTATTTTGGATGAGTCCAAAAAGGAAAGTGTGAATTTTATTTAGGACGAGAGGGAGTATGAAGTTACTATGCAAAATGATAAGGAAAATTGAAATTTTAGCAACATCAATCAAGCTCTAACTATAAGTAACAACTTTCGTTTTTTATTGTCCCATTTTGTTTTTTTTTAAATAAAATTTTTTTGTTACAATATTTCTTTGCACAAATCTCAATTATACATATTTTACTTTATTAATTCACAATTTGCTCTTTCCCATTTTGGGTTTTAAAATATCATAATTTGCTCTAAAAATGTATTGGACTTATGATGTCATATACTCAGTATATACATTGGGAGATTTACCTTTATATGAGCAAAACATGGTTTTTTCCCCAAAATAGAAGCACCTAGTTTAAACATCTTTAATAGAGTTTTTATTTGTGATAGGAACAAAATACCCCTCACAACCTTTACCACTGCTGTTCCAGGATTGTCGGACCACCACTTGCCGCCTGCCGCAGAACCTCCGGCCATCACCGCCGACCACCATCGGAGCACTGCCGGGAAATTCTTGATTTTTTTCTGACAGCTTGCCGGATATGTGCTGCCGGCGCTGGAGTTTGCCACCGGAATCCGTGGCCTTGGTTGTGCAAGAGAACTAAGGGGATAATTAATTTGGTTATTTAATTGCCGGAGTTCACTGCCGCTGCCGGAATCCGCCGCCGATCGCTGCCGCAGTGCTGCCGCCACCACGGGCTGTCTCGCCATCGACGGACTGCCTTAGTTGTTCAAGAAAACTAGGGAGAAATTATTTAGAACAATTAATTAAATAAATAGAATTAGGGGTAAAAAAGGTAAGGTTAGTCCTATTTAGGGGAAAACATACACGTGGTGCTATTTTGGGAAGAAACTTTAATTTCAGTCCTATGTTGGACAATTTTCTCATATACTTTTTTAAAAAATAAAAATGTTCGGTTCCTGCTATTGTGGTGTGGTGTCTTGGACAATGCCGATTCTACCTAAACTCGGGTCTGAGTCGAGCTTCATAAATGGACCCTATAAATAATATTTTTTTTGTTATATCGATTCATTAAAACTCAATGATTAAATATCACAAAAACGCAATTCTTAAATTACAGTCTTACATTATAGCAAAATGACATTAAATGTATTAAAAAACTAATTAAGTACAACTAGCCCAACATTTTAGACGCAAATGTATTAATCAAGTCTGCATGATCTATGTTATCAATAAATTTCTTCTCAATTAATCATGTAGCTAATTCATTCAATCTTTCTTGAGAAATGGTTGAAGATCTACTCTGCAAAGTGGTCCTTTTATTCGAAATGAAGTACTACGTACTACGTACTTATTAATGTTTTCCGATCTGACTTTGAGTTAATGATTCAATACGTGATTTTCTTTTTCTCTTGAAATCGAGATAAAGATTTGAGAGGTAAGGTACAAAAAAGTGCATACTTTAGTGGAATCCCTAACAATATACTACGTATATTAGTAACTTTCTCTATAAAATACAAAACATTTAATTTAATTCATTGTGAATTGAGAATTCCATAATTGCAATATTCATAACACCAACTAAAAAAACAAGCTAGAATCTACTAGAATTTAAAAATGTACAAATTAGCCCATTTGGCATTCACACGTGACAAATTAATTATACATCACATTAGCATTTAGCAAATCAATATAAAATTAGATTTTTTTTGAAAATACAAATAAATATATAAATAAGAAAATAAAAAAATATAGACTAAAGAGAACTGTCCAAAAAGAAAAATAAAATATAACTAAAAGATACATATCTATAATACATTAATACGAAGTATAAAATTTTGGGCCTCCGACCTTTACAAATTACGAGGTAATGGATTGAAGTAAAGTGTATACTACGTGGCATAGGAGAGACATAGAGATATGATGATTATTTTAATGGGCTTTTCCTTCAATATTATCAAATTAAAGGTGATTTCCACAAATGTGACCATTTTTTAAAAGGACAAAAATGTAACTAAGAATGTCACATATTTGGAAAACATTATGTCACTGTATTTTTTATTTACAGTTTTTTATGTAACTATTCAATTTTAATGTCACTATCAAATGTCACTGCGGCCACCGCCCGTGTCACTGTGCCGCCGCCCGTGTCACTGTGCCGCCGCCCGTGTCACTGTTGCCACCGCCCGCGTCACTGCTGTCACCGCCCGTGTCACTACCGCCACTGCACGTGTCACTATCGCCACTGCCTGTGTCACTGATGCCTTGAGAACATGTCACTGCGATAGTTGGAAAATCTTCTGTGATTTTTTCCGGCAAATGTGTCCCCCAACACCGCCACCCGCCACACTCCTGGCACCCCCTGCTCCCCGTATACCGCCCACTAACCCTACTCCTCCCCATCCCCATGCCCCCAGCCCCCTGACCAGCCCCCAAATCCCCTGCCGCCACCGGCGGCGGCCGCCTCCTGCCCATCTCCGCCACCGTTCTGGTTGATAACCGCCGCGCCGCCTGCCACCGCCGCTCCATTCCATCTTCAACCACTACCGCCACAGTGACGCCATCAGCCACCTAGCCCTAGCCACACCTCTCCATCCCTGCCCCTCGTTAGCCCACACCCCAGCACCCCAACCCCTGTTCACAGCCTGCAACCAAACCAGATCTAGCCCAAACCGAACCCAAATACAACCGCTACACCACACTCCGCCCTCAGCACACTTACAATGGCGGCAGCAGTGCAGCAAGACGAAATTGCAGCTTCATCGAAGCCCCAATCACCGTGCTAGCCACATGTGGTTTGTTCAAAGCAAGAAGTAGAAGAAGAGAGGTTAAGGCTGAAGGCGGTTTTGGTGATGAAGTTGGCGACGAATCGGCGAGGTGCGGCGTGGCGGCGAGGCGAGATGTGGCGGAGAGGTGCGGCGTGGCGGCGCGGCGCGGTGTGGCAGGGCAATAGAGACGGAGAGCTCGATGGGGAGGTTGGCGCAGCAATGGAGGAGAGCTCGATCAGTGAAGGGGAATAGAAGAGAGAGGCGCAGAGGGTTGGGGCAGATCGATGGATTGGGGGAGAGATGGTCACTTTTGTGTCCAGCTTAAAAATAATCCTATTTTTGTCTTCCCAAACTCTCTGACCTTTACAAATTACGAGGTAATGGATTGAAGTAAAGTGTATCCTACGTGGCATAGGAGAGACATAGAGATACGATGATTATTTTAATTTAATATAAAGAAAGTGGTGTGTATGAAAATTGAAATGGAAAAGAGAGAGAGATAAATTGTAGACAATGTCTATGACAATGTCCACAAATAGACTTTACACGGGAATCGAGGAGCAACAATGGATGAAAAATAGGTTAAAAATGATATACAAAATTGAAATTTAAAATAAGGTAGATTCTATGATACCCATAATGTACCATACATTTGTCCACATGGACCAATAAGAGTGTTACAGTTGAATTATTTAATCTAAATTAAAAATGATATAATGATGTGGACCAATCAAATGAATGATAGGTACGATACCCCAGTTTTTAAATGGATAGTGGAGTTGTCGACTTAAAATAAATACGAAGATATCTAAGTCAATATACATTTTTGGGAAAAAGAGTGGGTAAGAGAAACATCCGAGAAGCTCTGAGTCACGGCTCTGGTGCTGGACATGGGGGAGGAAGGGCAACACTGACCGAAAGTACACCTCATAATATGTAAGGTGCGTGTGCTTCTTTTTAATGCCCCTCCAATGGCCGCGCTACGCCTTTTATTTCTCTCGGATTGCTTTTCTGCTATTATAATCCATCTCTCGTAGTACTAGATGGCGAACATCTGCTGTGGATTGCTGAATGAGAGTAGCGTATCGCGGTCTTCTTCATCGTGCGAGACGTCTTCCTGGTCGGCCAAGAGGAGGAGACTGGAGATCGGTAAGATTAAGTTAGTTTCCGGAGGAGCTCCGTCGGAAACAGAGAACAGACTGAAACGTCCTCGTTTGGAGATGTGTTCCTCTTCAGGATCGATTTCGAGGCCGTGCTCTAGCGTCGTTAACAATTCCGACAACTCCGAAGCTGAGGAGGCGGTTGTGAACGGAAAAGCTGGATTGATTTTGAGCTCGTTGACGTCTGGTTTGCTGCCGAAATTCGGTGTGGCCTCCGTCTGCGGACGCCAGCGGGATATGGAAGATGCGGTTGCGATTCATCCGTGGTTATGCCATAAGGATCGCGAAAACAACACCGAATTGCACTACTTCGCTGTGTACGACGGCCATGGATGCTCTCACGTTAGCGGAATCTATTCTCAAAATTGAATACTCCGTATGACCTTTCTTCTGTTTGAATTGCCTTTTTAAATTTCTAATTGATTCACAGGTTGCGACGAAGTGTAAAGAGCGATTACACGCGCTCGTGAAGGAAGAGGTGGAGAAGAAAGAGGATTGGAAGCGTGCGATGGAGCAGAGCTTCAGGCGCATGGACAAGGAGGTGATTGCGTGGAACGAGAGCGTCGTTCGTGGCAGTTGCCGGTGTGAGCTGCAAAGCCCGGACTGCGACGCCGTCGGGTCAACCGCCGTCGTTGCAATTGTAACCCCGGACAAAATCATAGTGGCCAATTGCGGCGATTCCAGGGCGGTCCTTTGCCGGAACGGCAAAGCTATTCCTCTCTCCAATGATCAGAAGGTTTGGAAATGACCATTTCTCAGATGGAAACATTTTTTACTGGATTTGATTGAAACTCCTGTTATTAGTATTCCGGCTTGTTCGTTCCTAATTTTGGTTTTCAATTGTGCAGCCGGATCGCCCGGATGAGTTGAATCGGATCCAGGAAGCCGGCGGGCGGGTCATATACTGGGATGGTGCTCGGGTTCTCGGAGTGCTGTCGATGTCAAGAGCCATAGGCGACAACTATTTGAAGCCCTATGTGATATGTGAGCCGGAGGTGACAGTCACTGACCGGTTGCCGGAAGACGACTGCTTGATTCTGGCAAGTGACGGATTATGGGACGTGGTGTCGAACGACATTGCATGCGGAGTTGCGCGGATGTGCTTGAACGGGAAGAAGCGGGCGTCTCGCCATGGCCTGTCGGAGAAGGAAATAGTACTACAGAATTCCGACAAAGTTTGCTCCGATGCGTCGGTGTTGTTGACGAAGTTGGCCCTGGCGAGGCGGAGCTCGGACAACGTGAGTGTAGTCGTGGTCGACTTGAAAAAGGCCACATAGATCCGTGGAGATATTATCATGACCAGTGAAACATGTTACGGAGTAGTTAGTTAGAGATATTTTGATATGAGTGCCTTTTCCCGGTATTTCTATGTCAAACTATTCGGAGTGACGTAAGATTAGGGGTCTAAAATGTTAAAATAGATTTTTGGACTCCTAATTTCATGTAGTGGTAGGATATAATGAGTATTAAAATAGAAAAGGGGGTGGAGGGGTAAATATAGATGGAGGATAAAATCTCAAGGCTCAAAAATATTGTGGACACGTGGAGAGGAGACTAAGATAGAGAACTGTGGAGGTATGTGTCCATTAGATTTTTTTTAAATGAATTATTGTTGAGGTATATTATCTCATTCTGTTACTATTGAGGAGCCCAAGGCCTCGCCGCAGTACGAAGCCCGAATGATGAAGTCCATTTCAGTCTATCAAGCTTGGTTCGGCCCTTTGGACCCATTTTGGCCCACTTGGCCCATTAAAATAGGCTTTTCCCCTACCCCTTTTCCCTATAAATAAGAGGCCTTCCCTCCATGTTAGGGGTTGGTTTCTTCTTCCCCACTTCCTCCTTTGTTTTCTCTAGAATAATTGGCTAGCAATTTCCATTAATGGAAGTTTCATACTTGTACTATATAAATGGTGAGGAGAGTTTAATGAGAATGAGAGTGCTTGGACATTAGCATAAAAAGTCTCGTGGTTTTCTCCCTTTCGGGTTTCCACGTAAAAATAGTTTGTTCATACATATTTATATCTATATTTATTATATTGTGTTGGATTAAACTCAACAATTATAACTTTTTTTATTTCTAATCCAAATTTTATAAAATATATATCAAAATTCATGAATGTTTATTATCTTTCATATGACACCAATATGCAATATATAAAAAAGATAATTTTTTTGAAGTTTTAACTATTGAAGTTTTCCTGAGCCTAAAAATACGAAACACAAATTTTAAATTCAAGAAGCTTCACCAATAACTGAATATTCCATAATCAAACTTTACTTGAACTAAATTCATTTTTTGTTAACCGAAAAACCTTTAAAGCAATTAATGAAATTTATTTATTTTTACATCGAAATGTGTATTTTTTATTTCATAATTATTCAGAAAAAAAATTAGAAGGAAAACATTACTTATAATAATTTAATTAATGTTTTATTAAATTGATATGTAAAAAATATGATGAGTGAATTTTATTGACGATAGTGGAATGAATGAAAATATGAGTCAAAACACTGTTTTCATATGAACGGAGTCCATTTTTGACATTTTGGCCTCCAACCACTTCAAATGGTGTTATGTGAAAATTTTAGGGGGTAACAAACCTCTTGATTTTTATCATAGTTTACGCGTAAAAATTAACTTTTTACTTCATTCAACTTTTTTGCCCTACTTTTGCAATGATCATGAATATGTAATCTATGCCATCAGTCCGTATACCATACGAACGCCCCACTATGAGCGTGCTACACCCGCTACCAATACGACGTCGTTCTAGCAGTTCGTATACCATACGACCGTCCCATGGTGCGTATGATATTCCATCCCAAATTGCATTTGGTATTATTTTTTATTTCTCTTTTTCTAAAAAATGATAATAACTTTTTTATTTTTGCATTGAGAGCATATCAACTTTTTTTTATTTTTCATGATCTTTCAAATGAGACCAATATTGTCTATGTAATTTTAACATATTATCGAACTATTATATTAACCTATGTAAAATATGTAATTTTACGTGTAGAAATATGTAACTCACGTCCAGTCAGGCCAAATGCAACTCGTGTGTATACATATGTAACTCTACGTGTAAAAATATGTAACTTTACGTGTAAAAATATGTAACTCGCGTTCATACAAGTCAAATACAACTCGTGTGTATAAATATGTAACTCACGTCAAGAAATATGTAACTTTACATGTAAAAATATGTAACTTTACGTGTAAAAATATGTAACTCACGTTCAGCAGGCCAAATGCAACTCGTGTGTATATATATGTAACTTTACGTGTAAAAATATGTAACTTTACGTATAAAAATATGTAACTCACATGTATAAATACATAATACAATAAAATTTTTATATACACAATTTTAAGATAAATTGTGAATTACGCAATTACGGAGTATTTTTCTGTATTAAATTTAGTTCGATTTTCCTTATAATCCAATACTCATTAATATAATAGTTCGATAATTTCTTAAAATTACATAAGCAATATTGTCTCATTTGATAGATAATGAAAAATAAAAAAATAATATAAAATTTATAAAAATCGGATATGAAATAAAAAAGTTATTACAATTTTTAACAGCAAAAGAAATAAAAAATAAAGAAGTCCGTTACTGTGCTTGCCAAAAATAAAGACCGGTATATGGTGCTCACCGTATACCGATCATACGGTATAATTTGCGCTATGCCATCAGATCTAAAATTTTTCACCGTATACATAAAGTCCGTTACTATTATTCATCTTGTTTGGTACGTCACTTTTTTCACTTCATCTATCTAAAAATACGCATCATGCCATATTCAAGAGTCCAAGACTTAATTAATTTGGCAAATAATAGTAAAAGGATGATATTGACGTTATTACCTAGGGATTAAGGCCAAATGTGAATCACGAGAACAAAAAGCGTCTCCCGATACTGATCGAGATTGTCAAATATTCTGATGAAACACTGAAGATCATAAAAGAGAAACTCGAAAAACATAAGAAGAACATCATCCTCGTTGAAGCCTCCGATGAAGAGTTGGAGGAACATGAAAGACTCGCAAAAGTGCTCGATGCTATCAACGAGAGGATTGACATGTGACAGGGTCTACGCCTGTATGAGCACACCCTGACTCTCATGAAGTCATACTTCAAGAGACAGAGGTGAAAGAAAGCTCATCTGCAAATTGATCACAAAAGAGGAGATTATTGGAACATTTATTGTGAATCAATTTGTATTTTATCTTATGTAATTATTTCTAATAGTTAGACTTTATTTAAATAGCTAGAGTAGCCTATTAATATGTTTGGGCCAAAATGTTAGTGGCTCAAACTCCAATGCTAGACTCATGCACATTACTCACTCAAGGTATTTAATACCTTATAGGTAATGTGACAAAACACCTTAACGATTCACGTCACATCATTTTCTAGAATATCACACAACATAGAACATTCTCTCTACCAGAACATTGATCCTTCTTCTACGATGAACGCCATTTTTTATCGTTTCCTTTCAGTTGAGTTTGTTTCTTTTGTTTAATCTGTTCAATTTTAATCGTTCATCTATCTACGAGACTGGGTAAACCAACAACGCGTAAGAGTGTGCAAGAGGACTAGACATCTCCATTGGAGATGCTCTCACTACCACTATCACTATTAACATTTATTGTTCTAAGTCAATAAGAGAGTGACACATCAGGCCTCAACCTTTTTTTATCGTAAAAACAACATTTATATTAGATCAACAAATCGTTCATCACTTGGCTGACAATAATATCAGGGATAAAGCAGGAAATAAAATGACAAAAAGCATTATGTCTGCCGTTCGCCCTTGAACCAAACTTAGAATCTATCACCTCCGTAGAAGCAATAAGATTCGTTGATCCTGTAATGGGCTTAACTGAGTCGATGACAGGCAAACGAGTCTTCTCATCACCTAATTAAATTCTAGAATCTTTTTGCTAGGAAATAAAAATACACTAAAACAACATGCATTTCGAAAGAAAAATACAAACAAAATAAAACGGAATTAAAATAGAGTTCACTCATCTTCTTCCAAACTCTAGACTCTCTTGCACTTGTTCGTCATCCTCAGCCTCATCTCCCAACTTTTCCAAACTATCTTGCGCCGGGTCTACCTCATTCCCATCCAGTCGCGACCCGCCTGTTCTGGCTTTGTTCGTGATCTCTGCTATATAGGCGCTGCGGGGCGAGGAATTCCGCTGCCTTCAGACATAAATTGCTTCGTCAAGACATCTCCCAAAGCGCCGCCCTGCTCTTGCCAACCAACACCTACGTTCTCTCAAGAACCCCAACACAGTCCTATCGATTTGAAAATGGGTCAAAGATCCGCCTCTACCTTCGTTACTACTATTGTTTGCCATATTGCCGCTCCGCACAAAGGCGGATAAAAATAAAACTCGCATGGAGCGAGAAACCCTAGCATATTGTTGTTGAGACTTTGCTATATCTCATGCCTCAACCTTTGATAACTTAACTTTACTATATAGAATAATAGACATTCCTAAAAATAACAATTTGACAAAAAGTGACATTTTCTTTTAATTTCCAAAATGAAACTAAAAATAGCTATGAGGGCTATAATACTCTTGTTAGGCTCAACAGACCCATACAATGACCGACAATATAATGGCCAACTACAATTACCCGACCTGATTATTTACAATTAGTGACCCTCCAGTTACATTTACCCGACCTATCAATTTTAGTTGCCTAATAAGTCAGTTACAGTTATCCGACTCGCCAGTTGTAATTGCCCGACCTGCCAGTTACAATTACCTGACTCGCCTGTTATAGTCACCTGATCAATCGGTTATAGTTACTCGATCGGTGAATTACAGTTACCTGACCCATCAGTTATAACTACCTAATTTGACCAACTATCCAGCTCGACCAATAACTTTTACCGGGTTAGACCATTTATAGTTACCCGTTGAGCACCTCCTCGACCACCGTCGCCGACCACCATCTCCGGACGACCACCACCACCAACACCACATCCCAACCCTACCTCACCAGCCCCTCCATGCTTCACCCCTTTCCTGCCCCACCTCAGTGTAACCCCTCGCCACTGCCACCACCCCAGCATCACCGTCGATGCTAAATCCCTAGCCGGTGATGTAGAGATTCTAGCCACCGTATAGCAGGTTAATTTTACCCGTCATTTTTTTTCTTGCCAGAACTATTGTCGCCTGCAACATCACAATTAGAAATCGACGATGTCGGCATTCCTAGATTGAGGAGCCATGGTTGTCCATTTGCCCGATTTGAGGAGAAACGAGAAGATGCAAGCTATGATGACAAACGAATGTGTAGAAGAAGAGAAGAAGTTCATTACATACAACCTTTAATGAGATTCCAATGATGTCATTGATCGAGAGACGATTAAGGCAACGTGGCATGTCGCAGGCCCAAAAGAGATTGTCGAACACCTATATCATCCATTGAACATGCCAAGGTGTTGAACAAGCATGAGTAGGCTTGTCAATTGGTTGGGTATGGACCAGAACTATAAATTCCATATCCATATCCGTTGAGTAATTTTTTGTCCAAATCCGGACCCACTTACCCTTCGAGTCCTAAACATATGTTCCCGATTTGGGTCCACCGGGTCTCGTATCTGGGTCGGGTATACCCGCAAAAAAACTAATTGACATATGCAAACAAATATAGTAGACAACAAAATTTTGGTTCATATTGGAAGAGATCATATGTAAATATGCAAAATGTTGTTCATTCCATTAGTCTATACATCCTCAAACTCAGTAGAAACAAAATTCTGAAACAAGAAATAGCTTGATATCAAGAGGACCTAGAGCAGTAAACTCATTAGGGAAAACCGGAAAACCCCATTATAGTGCGCCAACCACTAACTAAGCCTACAATTATTAAGACATTTTTATATTTGATTATTTCCTTAGTTTATGTTTAAATATTCTTATGTATATTGTGTGTGTATAAATAAAAGGGGTAATTTGAGTTTGCACCCCATA